CAAAACTCTTTCTCCCTGGATGCACACTAGAAATCAAACTGTTCAGAGTCATTCAAGTTCAAACACAGGTATAAAAGAGGTGGACAGGGGCTAGGTCACCAGGAGCCTGTGGACGTGACGATCTTGGTCCTGGGGCAGGGCAATGGTGACAGGGTGAGACTGGCATTTTGTGACAAATGACTCCAGGGAGAAGGGGCAGCGTGGACGCGGAGCTCTGGCCAGCGCGAAGGTGACTGGGAGTCGCATCAGAAATAGAAGAGGACGGATTTGAGAAATACGACCAGGGAAGACAGGATTAGACAGTTAATTATAAATGAGGCGGAGGTGGCAAGAAAGAGGGGGAAGGAGAAAAACATCTATAGCCTCCTGAAAAGTTGACAACATTCTTGGGTAAATAAAAACTACTTAAAGGTTGAAAAAAGAAATAAAACCTCCACCTTCACTGCCCCGGGCTGCAGGGGCATGTGGGACTGAGACCACGACCTGTGCTGGCTCACCTCTGTCACCCTGGGTTTTCCAAGGTCCAGTTCACCCAAGAAAAACAACATGTATTGTCGGTCGTGTCTGGGTACACTGTGAGATCTCGGTTTACACCTCATACGTGGACCACCCGATGGCTAAGAGTTTTCTCGGGGACCTGATAAAACTGGATATCCGGTCTCTGACCCTGTCCCCAAAAGCCTCCAGGACAAGGCCCAGCCCACTGAGAACCAGCAAGGAGAGCCTTTATTCACCCCTTCTCAAGAGGGGTGCCTTCCATCGAAGGAGCCACCCCAAAGCTACTTCTTATCTCATAGATGGGATTTCTCATATCTGAAGCATCAGGGAAAATGGGAAATCAAAAGGCACAAAGGAGCTGAAGAAATGAAGACAACCATACAGCCTGAGCATCATCTGTGTGTGTTCTAAGTCGCTCCAGTCGTCTCTAACTCTTTGTGACCCTATGGACCATAGCCCGCCAGGCTCCTCTGTCCATGGGACTCTCCAGGCAAGGGTACTGGAGTGGGTTGCTGTGCCCTTTTCCAGGGGATCTTCTCGACCCAGGGATCGAACCCGCGTCTCTTACGTCTCCTGCACTGGCAGGCCATCCTCAAACAATTATTCTGATGCCAGAGGCTGCTGATCTTAAGTTATAAGTGGGAGGCCCTAGGAAGTTTGGTCTCTTAGTTCTGAATCCTTTTTTGTCATGTTCTGCTCCTGTAGATACTCAAAGTTTCTAAGCTTAGCTGAAAAAAAAAAAAAAAAGCTACTCAAGGTTTACTTTAGATGAAGTCAGTAAAATTTGGAAGCAATTACAAAAAAAAAAAAAGGTATGTCCTAAGACAGTGCAGTTTGGGCCACCAAAATCAGGGCAAAATCCAAATCACATTATTTCCTAATTCTCTACATCTAGTTACCCAAGGCGTGCTTGAATTACTTCAGGGTCATGAACAACCTTGCTTATTTCACAGCAGTCTTTGCTTTCTTGCAGGGTGGGGTTATCTTTATCAAGAAACACAAAGGGGCGATGAAGCCCCACCTAAGCCAGGGAGACAGAATTTCCGCACCTGCAGACTTTACACACTGGCCTGGAGGTGATTTCAATACAGCTCCGCAGAGGCCCTGCTGACCCGGGCAGTAGGCCAGCAGGGTATTATCAGAACAATCCGACATGTTGCTGGCTTCTTCCACTTCCTAAAAACAGAAGTTGCCACACACACGAAATAATTCAATGTGAAAGAAAAGTAAAAATAAAAATAAGGAGCGTTTTTATTTTTTTCCCTCCCTCCTCTTAAAGGGGCAGCAGGTAAGGGTGTTGGGGGGTGCTGACCTGTGCACTTAAACGTTCAGGAGAAAGGAAACGGGAAAGGACCTGGTTTAAGTACTGAGACACCGCACTCCTGCGTGGAGTACACAGCCAGCTAAATCTGGAAGTACATTCAGCTGTTATGGACAAGAAGGCAAGCCCAGGACACTGCCCGCTGACTGTGAGTGTGTGTGCACTCGTGCATGTGTGTATGTGTGTGTGTTTTCCTGCTGCCCTAAGAATAAAAGTGAAACACAGCTGCGATCCAGCAAGAGTTCATTTGTCAGGGTAACAGTACATTTCATTGTTTACGCCCTTACTGGATTTGCTTACCACACAGCCCGCCCATCTCCAGAATAAAAATATACTGGCTGGCTGGCCTCCACGGGATTAAGATATTGATTTTCAATCTATTTCCCCAGGGACAGAGCCGACCAACAACGAGGAAAATGCTCTTGTATTAAGGACTCATTTCAGCTCCCATTTTTAATCTCATAAACATGGGCTTAAAAGAGGGGACTGGAAACATCTTGAAGTTTTCCTCTTGGTGCCTGGATACAAAACTGGAAGGAACTCTGGGTTTAGAGACCAATAAATAGAAAGCAAGAAACGGTGTCATTTTTAAATAAAACATTTTTTTAGAAAGTAAAGAGAGCCCAGAAAAGAATCTCTCCAATGCCACAGGAGCCTCGGAATCAGAAAGTGCTATGTTTCTCTCACCTAGGTCCACACATCACAGAGGCTGGAATAGCTAACTAACCATCACTTGGGAGAGTGGAGACAAGGCTCTGAGAAGGGTTTAAAATCTGAACTAGTGGTTCTGTTAGCAATAATCACAAATTACTCACTTCTTTCAAATACTTGCATGAATCCACTGCATCTATCATTACACACCTTTGGAAGGGTCACTGACTAGTTAGAAAGAGATATTCAAACTCATTTTACTGCCATCCATTATGATTTTATTCTTTGGAAGAGAATCATTTAATCTGGTTGGTGATTCTCTAACCAAACCTGGCCTTCATCTTTGCCCCAGAAGGAATGACTCATTAAATCAGTGCCAACGCTATGCAGCACCCACTACACCAAAAGGCAAAGAACAACCAACCTGACAGAGAATTTACATACTGAAGACTCAACCAGAATGTTTAAAAAAAAAAAAAAAGGGCGGGGGGGGTAAAGAAAACTGGTCCAATTCTGGCTTCTATCTGGCATTTTATCTGAGGCTGAATTTCCCTCATTAAGGAAGGGGAGCTCAAAAGTCAAACAGCTCCCTCAAAATAAGCTGAATCTTAAGAAAGCATGCCTGGAGGGTTGGCATATATCTTGCTTTTTAAAAAGAGCTCAGAGGACTGGAGCTTTCCGAGGACAGTCTGCTGACACAGGGCCGATCAAAACCCAGGTGCTGGAGAAGCAGCTCCCAGCCCTGGGGCAGAGGGCCCAGGAGGGAGGGAGCCGGACTTCCGGTCAGACAAGCAGCCTCGCTCCAGAAGGGAAGTGAGAAGGCTGCTCTCTGGACAGCTCGCTCCGCTCAAAATGACTGTGGGGCCATCTGTCTCTGTGCAAAAGTGCCGCATCCCAACGAGGAGGCAAGGCTGTCCAGTCACGAGATACAGCATATGCATCATTCTACCTTCACCCTGCACACTGCTGGAGACTCCAAAGTGCAAGGGAGACCCTGCACGCGTGATTCTACCCCCAAACTCCAAAACTCCATGTGCAGCGGCTGCAACTTCCGGTCCAAACTACATATTGTGAGCTTAGTCACTCAGTTGTGTCCAACTCTCTGCAACCCCACAGACTGGAGCCCACCAGGCTCTTCTGTCCATGGGATTTCCCAGGCAGGAATACTGGAGTGGGTTGCCATTTCCTTCTCAGGGGAATCTTCCCAACCCGGGGATTGAACCTGCGTCTCCTTTGTCTCCTGCATTACAAGCAGATTCTTTATCTGCTGAGCCATCAGGAAGCCACTGAGAACCCACAAATGAAGGTCCTCGGATGTGAGGCTGACTCTTGGGGCTCTGCTTGATCTTTCCCATTCTTACCAGCATCAGAAGGCCTAACTGTTTACAAAACGGAGCAAAATGAAATGAAACCAAAGGTATTGAGGGCAAAGAAACAGAGGTTCTGGATTCCTGGGCTGGAGTCAGAATACAAGTTCAAGGCTGGGCCTCCACTCTTGCAAAGGGTCCCCACCATCCGCTCACAGCAGCACCCCGGCAAGACTTTACTGAGATGTAGTCCTCACCTGTCACCCTCCTGCCCAAAAGCCTCCAGGGGTGGGGCTTACATGATGCGTGTATATGAAACATCTGTGAGCCTTAGTATGTGCTATATTTCAATTTTTAAAAACTTAAACACACACACACATAGACACCCTCCAGCACTTTTGAGGAAAAAGACCCAACCTCCTTCCCAGGGTCTGCAAAGGTCCCCATAAGCCCACTCCACTTTCTTTCTGAGGAGCCTCATGGGACCTCCCTAGGAGCACTGGCCTTCCCTCTGATCCTCCAAGCGTGTTTCTGCACCGGGGTCCACAGGGCTAGGTCGGCTGCCAGCCCCCTGCTGCAGTTCCTCACCCAGCAGCATCATCTCTCTAGGCTGTCCCTCTGGCACATTTATCATAGACAGTAAAGCTGTTGTCATTTGCAGTTCCATGAAACTAGGAATTGTTCCGGCCTTGCTCCCCACCTATTTCCCCGCGCGCAGCGCGGTTTCTGCTGTACAGAAGGCACTCGGCACTCTTGGTGGGATCACAGTGCCCCCTCTGGCCACGCACCTCTGTTTCTGCATCTCAGAGATGAGCGCCACATCTGTGGCAGGTCCATCATCCAGGGATGCTGTGACGACTCATGGGGACAGTCTCCCTCATGTCTAGTTCCCAAGTTAAATAAATAACACATTTGTCCACATAACCAAAAATGCAAAGACTGAGAACCGCCAGTCATTAGCCGCTGGTGGGCGGTGGTTGGGGGGGGCGGGTATCTCTTTTCATCTACCTATTTTCTTGAGGTCCATCCACCTCAGTTCCTTTATCTGATCCTCAAAGGATTTTATTTTTCAGCCCTGACATCTGAGGGCCTGAACTTGCATTCTGAGACAGTTCCAAGCCCTCCTCCCACAGCCTATGTTATTTCAAGTCACGTTTTACAAATTCTCGACCCCGGAGGGGGTACTTGAGTGAATAAAGAAACGAGATGTCAAAATAGTTTACCTATGATGTTCACCGTACTATCCACTTCAGTTTTTATAGTTGAAGTCAGGACCGCATACTCAGGAGAAAGATCACTTACTCCGTTACTAAGCCCCAAAGGTGACTCAATTGGTTCTTGCTAGGAAGAAGAAAAGAAAAAAGAATTGAGAACACTTCCTTTCCCCTTCCTTCGCTTAGTTTAAATTCTTCCCTGTCTGCTTTCTTTTAATGCCAAGGTCAGGTTCGTCTCCCAAGTGCATGTTTTCAATCAGCCTAGAGCTTAAAAAGCACATTTCTGCCTAGAATGTCTTCTATAGCATTCCCTTTTTTCCCCCCTTCTTCCTTGGAGGAGATAACACCACTGCACCTGGCTTGCCTTCCTGAAATGCTTACCTCTGCACCCGACGACCCCTGGGTAAGAAAGCTGCATTACTATCGAGGTAAAGCACCGTGCAGGGGAGACCTCAACTCTTTCTTCTCTGAAGGAGGAGGTGCATGTGAGTCAGCTCCTGGCCTTCTCTCTAAGGGAGGAATCCTGCTGCCCCTTTTATACTTTTGGAGGAAAAGCTCTGCCTCAATTACAAGCCCAAGGACAGGAATTTAGAGCACATGGTGGATGAATTATTCTCATATCGGGTCTGCCCTGGACCCTAGCCACGTGAGCATCCTGCCCCAGGGCAGGGGCGGTGGGGTGGCCGGTGACACGGGCCAGACTCCCAGCTGAAGACCCCCCAACTCCATGGAGGCCAGTGGAGCAGCCCATATCCATGGCGCCTGTTAAATCCTTCCGAGAGTCTACATATTGATTCTAATGCATCTAGGAGAACCAATTCCTCTGCCCAAGCTTGGCTCTCAATTTCTGCTTTACTCAAGTGCACCAGAGCCCTCCAACCTCTGAACACAAAAACAACTCTGGAGAGCCAGTGCTGGGGTACAGACTGACTTTCAATGGTTTGATGACAGCGCTTCTCTCCCAGAGGACATTGCACTGGTGCCTACGACAGCAGCAGAATCAGACAAAAAAAGCCACACACAACTACTGGGGAAACCACACTGGAGAGGGGGGTATAAGGGTGGAGAGAACAGAAGACAGGAGCAGATCACGTGAGATGGATATGACTGTGCTTTGAAAAATTTCGACTGGCTGCTCCAAGGCACGCAGAGTGTTCTTATCAATGCATGTGCTGCTTGGACTCAATGACAAATGCCCTGTAAACCTCAGGGAAGCCACAGTCCCATCCAGCAAATTCCCACCATGATATCCATGACTTTGAAGACATCACCTCACTGTATAGCTCAGTTCTTGAAAAAAAGAAAATCACAAAAGGCAGGGTTGACCAGATGTATGAAACGCTGAACCCAGGAAAGACCTGGGACAGCTCTGTTAGGTAGAATGTTTACCCCCTTCCCCTGTAGCATCTCTTTTACATATTCCAAAGTTTATCCTTTCTGGGAAGAAACTCGCTTGCTTGTGACTTGAGGTGTCACCTTCCCTTGAAAGCTAAACTCTTGACTGCGTACCTGCCTTCCCACCTCAGCCCCCTCACTATGGCTCGGAAAAGCCTGCAGTCTGGCTGCCACTCTACTTGTGGAAGCAAACTCTCAGCTCCTGGAGAGGGTGATGGTGAGACAGTCTGGCTTTGGAGTCACATGAGCCTGGAGTTCAAGTCTTTCACTAGTTACAGGGCTTTAGCCTCTTCAGTGGTCTCTTAGGATGCTGTGGACAGCTATAAACTGAGGACAGTAATAGAACCCACACCATTCCCATGGGGATGATGGGAAGATCAAATAAGACAAATTGCACCTGTCATCTATAATTAAATAAACACTCACTATTATCCAAAGTCACCGATAAAACTCCACTCTCCCAAATCCAGGCACCTTTCTGCAAGTCTCTTTCCCAAGTCAGCCCCACACCCTGACATCCAACAGGAAGACCTGGAAATCTCCCTTCTTGACAACAAAATCTACCTGATCCTCCACCTTTCTGATGGCACCCTCCTCTCTGGCTTTCTCAATGACCCCTTTCTACCCCCACCATCTCCAACAGGCCCCACATGTCATTTTATTCCTCTTCCATCTCTTTGATTTCCCACAAGGAACTAAGAACATTTTAAGGAATTAAGGAAAGAACTGCTCATTTTCATGGGTCTCTTTTGTTGTCATTTTCCACTCTAGGTTTCTTATAAAAGTAATGAGGCAGTCAGACTTGCATATACTTAAAAACCTAAATTATTCTGATTTCTCAACGTGGAGACGTCAAAGTGTTTCATATGATCTACAGTTTAATTAGTGGCAAGTGAGACTTTTATCACATTACACTTGAGAAAACTATGACTCAGAGACGAAATTAGTTTTCTAAGATCACACTACATTTTTTTTTCCCTAAGATCACACTACTTTTAATGTGAGGAGATACGGGAACTGAACTCAGTCTTTGGTCAGGGAACATGGTCTAATTCCAGTAGTTTCTGTCTTAATAAACCCTTGGATCCTGTAATAATTCCAATGGAGACTGAGACAGAACTACTGCCAACATTGTTCTACTCCCCAGATCCCTGCCTTGAATCCTGCACAACTTCTGTAACAGAACAGAATAGGAAATGGCAACTCACTCCAGTATTCCTGGGAAATCCTATGGACAGAAGAGCCTGGTGAGCTACAATCGCTGGGGTCCCAAAGAGTCCGACATGACTGGGCGACTAACCCACCAGCACCACCAATGGAGACTGAGGCTACTCTGAACGCTGCTTTGCCTCCTCCCATCCCCACATCCAAAGTAACCAGCCAATCGATTTCCAAGTCCTCCATGCTAACCTCCTCATTGGTTCTGAAAGGACAAGACAGCAGATTGTCTAGTGAAAAGCATCCAGCACCTCTCTGAAAGGTTTCCATCCAGGGAGCAGAAAAACAGGGATCTTCACTACCTTCAGCTGAAAATTTTGAAATTATTAGAATAGGAAGATCTAAAACTAAACTATGTATTTTTTTTTTAACGGCAAGAGCCCAAATTAAGAAAATAGGTGAACGTTTCTCTATAGAACAAGTATACAGAGATCCTTCAGGTCACGAATGGCCTCTGCCCACAGCATCTCCTGGTCCTCTGTGATGCTCACTCTTGCCCTTTGCCACACCTGGCTGTACCACAACCTGGCCCGCTGAGTCCTAAGCCAACCTGCCTCCTCCTTCTGCCCTAACATCTCTCCATGAGGCCTGAAAACCCAGGGCTGCTCTTGGGTTCACACCTATCTTCATACTCAGCATCCTCTTCCAGAGAAATGTCTCCTCTCCATTCCAACCACTATTCTCATCTAAACTGTCTACTGCAGTCTCTCCTCTGTGACTGCTTCCCATCACCATGAGAAAGACCCCCTTTAAATATCAAGTCCACCACACTCCAAGTCCTTCCCAAGGAGTTCAACTGTGCCTTACGCCACAAAAGCATCCACAGAGGTTAGTCAGCCAACCAGTTTTGCAGACTGTGCTCTGAGCAGTCCCTTCAAGAGCTTCCAGGAGGAGAGGGAGGCAGCAGGGTTGGCTGGGAGAGCCCTTCACTTGTTCCCTGCTTCCAGAGCAGTTCTGATTCCATCTGTTGAAAGTTCAGGTGGGTTGCTTGCATGGGTTTTCAGTTCATTAAGGTTTAAAAATTGAAGGTCCCTTGCAACCCATGAAAAGTTCACTCAAGTATCATCCCTGACAGGTAGTCTTCTGTGGACAGCAACAGGGCGCATATTGTTTGGCAAGCCAGCTCAAGTCACTGTTAGATCCGAGAGCTCTATCAGAAAAATCTGCTGACTTCTCTGGCAGTCCAGTGGTTAAGACTTCACACCTCCAATGCAGGGAGCGCGGGTTCAATCCCTGATGGGGGAACTAAGATCCAGCATGCTGTGCAAGGTAGCCAAAAAAAAAAAAAAAATCTGCTGAGCCAATACCTGCTTTTCTGTAACTCCCATCCAGAGGTCTGCACTCAGAACTAACAGAGACCAGACCCGCTCTTTACCAAGTGATGGTGCAGGCTGTCCTTGATTATATTTTCTGTAAGAGTACCAATTCTTTGATTTGGAAGCAGTCTACAGTTTGTAAGTATTCATTTCTAATCCATCCAACCTACACGCCTTCTTTTCCCCATGTGCCCTCACTCAGGCTCCTGCTCTAATGAAGCTGGAAAGTTTCCTGACTTCTCATTTCCGACTCTTTTCAACCCCATGGACTGTAGCCCACCAGGCTCCTCTGTCCTGGAATCCTCCAGGCAAGAACACTGGAGTGGGTTACCATTCCCTTCTCCAGGGGATCTTCCCCACCCAGGTATCAAACCCAGGTCTTCTGCATTGCAGGCAGATTCTTTACCATCTGAGCCACCAGGGAAGCCCCACCCAACGAAGATCAAACAGCAAGTCTGACCTCCAGACCTTCACATATCATGCTCCTGGTGGTGGAGGATGTCCACCCATTTACTGGCGTGTCCCCCAAGGCCTGGCTCGGAGCCCACGGCTTCTAAGAGGCCGAGAGACACTGAGGGAGGTGATGGGGCACAGGTTCTGGAGTTGGACTCACCTGGAATCAATCCCAACTCCATAAGGCAGTGCAACTCTGGGAAAATCACTCAACATCTCTGTGCCTCCACTGTTGCTGAGGCAAAAGGGAGACAACCTGCCCATCATGAGAAGGACGAAGTAGGTAATAATTGAAGCTGAGAGCATGGCAGGAGCTCCAGAATGTCAGCTATACCCCTCTGTTTTATCCATTTCTATCCTTACTGATTGTGGCCTTGGGACATTTTCTGAAACACAGATGTGCTCTGATGACGTGCCATCTAGTGCTGCTCTCTACTATGCTTCTTATTCGAATATTTCCTTAGACAGCCAGTTACCGCCACACAGGCAGGGCTCAGTTCAAGTAAAAGATGGCTCACTTAGTAAACAGCATATACTCCAACAACAGGGGATATGGAGGCTCCAACATCAAGGGATATGGAGGCAGCATTTCTGCACATATTACGTGGTCACTGGGCCTTGGGTCTCCCAGTTTCCGGGAAGCTATTTCCCAAGGAAACAAAGAGCATGGAGATAACAGACTGCGTAAATGGCCCAAGAAATATCCTAAGAGTGGGCCAGCATGCTCTGAATATTCTTTCCTAGTTAAAACTTCAACTCAATCAACTATACTGCAATGAAAAAAAATAATTAAAAGAATAGTATTTATTCAGGTATGTTTAAAAAAAAAAAAGAAAAAAACTTCAACTTTAATTGAAGGAAGACTGGAAAGAGCTTGTTTTAACAGCAAATTTTCATCCCTAGTTACGACATGCTCCTGCCTAGTCACCCAGTCACGTCTGACTCTTTGTGACCCCATGGACCATGCCAGGCTCCTTTGTCCATGAGACTTCCCAGGCAAGAATACTAGAGTGGGTTGCCATTTCCTTCTCCAAGGGATCCTCCCGACCCAGGGATCCAACCCACATCTCCTGCATTAGCCGGCAGATACTAATCCACCAGGGAAGTATACGTATAAGACAAACTCTCTCTGTAGAAGAAACCTACCTAGTCTATTCAGTTGCATATATGCATAGGGCTATGAACTCAGATCTTAGGAATTTTGACAAACAATAAAAAGTAATGTATGAACATCTCAGTAAAATCCTTTACCCAATTCCAGACAACCTGGGGAATGAACTTTGAACCGCTCTACAGAAACATTCAATGAACACTATGCAGCCATGAGCCACAGCACTTGGGAAAGCCTACCAGCCTCCTCCATGTTCCCAGACAGATACAAGGGGATTTATATTCAAAAGTTAAGTTGTGTTTACTTCCGATGAATCGCCTACCTTCTGCTGAAGGAACAATGTCTCTCTGAGGGACACATTTCAGGTACTAAGCAAGCCTACATCATAGCAGGATTTCGCACTGTGCCCTCTCCTGGGATGGAATTAATACACAAGGCTGCACCTACGAGGAAAGCTCTGACTTACTCCCCTGTGTCAATGTGGGGCCTGGCCACATGGGAGACACTGTCATTGGTGACGGGGCTGCAGATGACCTTTACTGCCGAGAACACCACGTGCCATCAATTTTCACATTGACGGAATTGTGAGGGGCACATTCCTCATGTTTCCCTACCCCTGAAGTAAGACGTGACTTCTGGTCAATTACGTGTGTCAGGATTTCACTGCAAGCAGTCTTCCTTGCTTAGAGATTAAAAAAAATAACAGTGCATCTTACAATCCTTGGTACCTAAGAGTCATTGCTTCTCGTGGATATGTCTGAGCAAAGTCAGCTGAAAAGTGAGCATTTGTTACTCCATTTTTATTTCTCCATTAACTGAGATTATGAAATTTAATCTGCATTCTAACCCTCCACTCCCTCCCCATATATTTATTTATGCATCTACTTGGTCAACAAATACTCATCGATCTATGCAGTGATCAAATATGTATTAACTATCTGTTTTGTACCAGTGACTAAGCTAGATGCTGTGAAAATATTAATAGCAGTAAATATGATAGAGTTGTACTTAAGACTGTAAGTTGTACTTAAGAGGATTCTTCAAAATCACATACTTGTGGAAGTTACACTTTTCTGACTAAACAAGAATAATCAGAATGTAGGCCCTAAAAAAAATATCCAAACAGTGGGAAATTTGATACAACAAACAAGATTTTTTCAATTGCAAGAAAAAAATAATTTTTTGAAAGTAATCTAGTGGAAACCCGTAGGTTAAAAAGACTTGAGACATATACAAAAATTACAACATGTGAACTTCATATGATTTTGATTCAAGTGATCAGACTGTATAAAAACTATGAAACTTATGAGACAAATTAGAAATGTTTAGCACTGACTGGATGGATATTTGGTGATACTGAAGAACCACTATTAATTTTGTCAGATGTAATAATGATTCTGGATTATTTTTAAAGAGCATTTATCTTTTAAAGTTATTTATTGAAGTAGTTGTGAAAGAAATGATGTTTGGAATCTGCTTTAAAATATTGGGCTGAACCATATGAAACTATTTTTGCAAGTCAAAAATGGTTGAGTATCTGCAATTTCACACATATAGGGAAGTGGACAGAGGTACTAATGTAACAAAATGGCCATGAGCTGATTGATGTTGAAAGCGGGGTGATGGTCTATGAAGTACATTTGACTCACTTGCTTCCTTCCTGTGTGTATAAAATTTTTCCATAATAAAAGGTTAAAATAAGGCCTCTACTGTGCTATATTTAAAGTAAGTCACCAACTAAAAATACTGAAAGTGGAAACTAGAGGTCTCACTGCTGAAACACTCTAGCTAAAATGTTTCTTTTCCATTGTAGAAGTAAATGTGTCTGAAATTTTAACAATTTACCTAAGTTTTCCCCTCTAACTACTTTCTCAAGTCAAACTGAAGTATATTTTTTTTGTGTGTTTTCCTGACTATTCTGACTCAGTGGTTTGCTTTTAAACATTGTGCTGTCTAGATAATTTGGATTTTCCTTCAACAGTTATTCTGGAGTAGAAATCAGAGTACTTGGCATCACTTTTAAGTTCAGTTCTAAGTTACCATGTGAACTTGGCCACATATCCCGCTGCCCTTGGGCCCGTGTCACTCAACCCTCTCACGCTACCCATCTCCGCATCTGCAAAGAGGGTGCGCTAAAGCAGACCACCGTCTCTCCAATGGTCTACGGGCCCCGACTGTAGAGTCTGATCTTTGCTTAGCAACTGAAGCTCATCTTCAGTTTCTCATGGGATACTTGGCGATTCTCTGGCTTTTGAACAAGGGCCACCCAATCAACACACAAAAGACCCTCACAGGGTAGGGGGTTTCAGACTACACAGCCGACGGAAAAGCTCACACACACAAACACATCCCTACGGAAGACCTTTGGGAGTTATGAAAGCTAGTTCGATACTGAGATCCACACAAATAAAGGGCTTGAACAGACCACACACTAATAGTCTGTCAAGGGAAAATATATATATATATACATAGACACACATAAATAGATATACACACATATATGTGTGTGTGTGTGTGTGTGTGTGTGTGTGTGCATGCGTGTTCGGTCACTCAGTCATGTCCAATTCTTTTGCAACCCTGTGGATTGCAGCCTGCCAGGCTCGAGGAGCCTGGTGGGCTACTGTTCACGGGGTCACAAAGTGTCGGACATGACTGAGTGACTAAGCACACACATATATAATGCACATTCATATATAAATGTAGGTATTTAACATAAGTTTATAATACCTAATATAATTTAAAATATATTTAATGGCCTGAAAATATACTTGATATCATCAGATAGTAGCGGGTAGTTGGAGCTTAGCTGGAGCTAAGTGACCAGCTGGCAAGAGTTGCGGGGGCCAGATGGAGGCCTAAGACTGCCAGGCTCAGCATGGATTTGTGAGTTCATTCATAAATCGCTCAGGGAAATTGGATGAAGCCGGGGATGTGTGTGTACCTGGGCCTACAAGCGGGCACATGCCAAAGAGGAGACATGAAAAGCACAGAAATCACAACAGCAAAGGAAGCAAGATTAAATACTTCACAGAGACCACATCGCTTGTTTTCAAGAGACAGACTATGAATCACTAGTATGATCACAACTTTGGCCTCCTCTCTGCACAAAGATTACCTTGATGTGCTTCACTCTGTCTTCTTTTTCTGTCTTTGGTTTCTTTCCTGTGGCAACAAAAACAGTTCGAGATTAATCCCAGAAGAATGGACAGACATTTCCCCTATGTTAAATTCTTCCTGAAACTCTCGGTGCATTTATTGCTGTAATCTGTAGATGGTCAAGATCCCAGACGTTTCTTTTCCTTTCTTTGGGGGCCCTGAGAGTCATTTTACCCAGCCAAGCAAGGGCTGAATTAACATCCACAATGGGAACAAGGGTTGTATCCTTGCTGGGGCTACTATTGTGGAAATCAAGAAATCACAAAGGCGCTATTTAAGCAATGGTTGTTTTAGCCAGTAAATATCTTTATCTACCTTTCTTAGAAGGTCGCTCAGACATGGGCAGCATCCGGTAGACTCTGAAGGCATTGTTTCCTTTCTTTATGCTTTTGTCTTTGACTTCCTCGATGTCAGGCAAGGAGTTCATGGCACATCGGAAATTTGCCTTCCACGTTTTCGGGTCGGGTTTATCTATTCCTGGTTGATGCTTTCCTAACAAAATAGTCGAAAGAATTAAGGTTAAGAAAAAAAAGAAAAAGAGAGGGAAAATTATTTCCAGAGTAAAAATTTCTGGAAACAGGATTGCTGGCGGGTTGTAGAGAGAATGCTTTTCATTCCAGGCCACGCCTACAGTGAACAAACGTCCTGGTTTGTTCCAAGCTGAGAAGGTTCTTGGGATGTGGGAATTTTAGTTTTAAAATCCAACAGTTCCAGGGCAAACTGGGACAGACTGGTCACCCTGGGTCTACAAAATAGATTGAGAGGAAATAAGGGTAGAAATCAAAGTGGAAAATCAAGGTAAGGAAAAGAAAAAGCTAGGAGGCCAGGAAGGTTTCTTTGGTGGCTCAGCTGGTAAAGAATCTGCCTGCAATGTGGGAGACCTTGGTTCAATCCCTGGTTGGGAAGATCCCCTGGAGAAGGGAACGGCTACCCACTCCAGTATTCTGGCCTGGAGAATTCCATGGACTGTATAGTCCACGGGGTCGCAAAGAATCAGACACGACTGAGTGACTTTCACTTCACTTCACTTCAGGAGGCCAGGAGACCAACAAGCATGGGTCACTGGAAGGTCTCTCAAATAAACAGCTCCCTGGTTAAACTATATTATAAATAAATAGCTACATAAATAAACAGTAAATAAATAATAAAAAATAAATAGCTAAATAAATAGTAAGTAATAAAAAATAAACAGCTAAATAAATAAATAGCAAGTAATAAGAAATACATAGCTAAATAAATAGTAAAAGAAACAGCTCTCTAGTTAAATTTTATTATAAATAAATATAATCTCGACTACCTTTGGGGGAGATAATTCAACCAAGGTTTGCAGCTCCAGAACAAATCAGTTCTACATTCCCCTGATACACACCTGGGGAACTTCATCAGAAAACCACATTTATATGGCTGAGTTCATTCATTGTTCACCTGAAACTGCCACAACATTGTTAATCGGATATATCCCAATAAACAATGTTTTTGGTGTTAAAAAATTTTTAAAAAAAGAAAACCACATGTCCAGGAAATTTAAAGACTCAGTTTCTATGGAATGGGTAGAGCATCACTTCTGAGTGATGAAGTCTATACCTCACGTGTCCTGGATGTGTCTGGAGATAAGTCACAGGTTTATCAGCACTATCTTCATGAAACCATAAGCCACAGCATTCATACATGCAGTAAAAATAAAAAGAAACAATAGCTAACAGTCTATCATATAACTGATATTTGCCAAGAGAGTAGAACGTAAATATTCTCAACCAAAAAACAAAGTACACTTTAAATACCTTGCAATTGAATTTGTCAGTTGTATCTTGATTTTTAAAAAGCATGAAACCAACCAAAAAAAGCAACAGTGCCGGCCTCTGGAGCTGATGCGGGAGTCATACCTGTATGGATGGCCCAGTTTCTGAAGAGGGGTGCATCTTTTTCCACATCCCACCCATGTCTAGCAGCATGCATCCAGGGGATCTGAAAAATCTTCTTTTCCTAAAAAAACAAATAATAAGAAGAACTGCAGCCAAGGGTTTCAGGCCATCATTGCAGAGGGTTCTAGCTAGTTTTAGCTAGTAAGACTCCCATTAAGTAAAAATCACTGGGTTTGCTGAATATCTATGGTAAACCAAACCCATTTCCTCACTATGACCCAAAGCTTGACAGTCTACCAGGTGAGATTGAGAGGCAGGTGGAGTCTGTTAGGCTAGAAATAAATTTCAAGGTCAAAAGTGATGATCTGGGAAATGCCAATGTGTTTCATTATCTGTGCCTCCTTTTTTACAGGACCACAGGTAACTGGCCACTGACTGAAACATCTATAGCTTAGGATTTATTTCTGTCACTTGGTAAAGAGGAACTCCAGCTGTCTTAGGTAAATTAAACATCAGGCAACTCTACCATGGAGACATGTACACGAACATATGTAAAACAGACAGCCAGTGGGAATTTGAGGCATGACGCAGGGAGCTCAACCTGGGGCTCTGGGAGAAACTAGAGGGGTGGGATGGGCTGGGAGGTGGGAGGTAGGCTCAAGAGGGAGGAGACATGTATATATACCTATGGCTGATCCATGCTGATGTATGGTAGAAACCAACGCAATATTGTGATTATCCTTCAATTACAAATAAAGATATTTTTTAAAATTAGGCAACTCTCCAAAGCAACACTCATTTCACTGCTAAAGGGAAGTTGGGGTGTCTGAGGCCATGGTCAGAGACTGAGTATCTCAATCTGCTCATGAAGCCAACAGAAATGAAAGATTTTGTTTTATGGACTTCCCTGGAAGTCCAAGGGTTCAGTTCAGTTCAGTCACTCAGTCGTGTCCGACTCTTTGCAACCCCATGGACCGCAGCACACCAGGCCTCCCTGCCCATCACCAACTCCTGGAGTTTACTCAAACTCAGGTTCAGGGGTTAGGACTCGGCGTTTTCATTGCGGGTGGGTGCGGGGACAGCACAGGTTTGATTCCTGGCTGGGGAAATAAAGATCCCGCATGCCAGATGGCGTGGCCAAAAATACATAAATATAATAAAACAAAATAGAGAAGTTAAAAAAAAAATTAAAAAGATTTTTTTCTAATCCCTATGTGTCTACTACCTGACCTGAGGAGAAAGCAACAAATATAAACAAATATGTACCAGTTATATGAGGATGATACTCCTTTCTGAAGAAAAGTCCCTTAAGTACAGTTCTTGTCATAGAAGACCTTCTCCATCTCTCTTACATCCCAACTCAAAACTGCTTAAATCACCCCTGGCAAGCATATGACTAGAAACTAGTGCTTTGGAACCAAAACAGTAAAACTGCTTATGTGAAACCCAGTTCCCTTTGCATGTTCACACACTCTCAGTTTTGGTTCTTCCAAGACCCAAAGGAGCTGGGTACATGTTACTATTTCCACTTTACACTTAAGGAAACTGAGGAACAGATTTAAATTATCTATTCAAGGAACTCACGGTAATATTAGTAAATAACCAAATTCAAAACCTAGGTCATGTGACCCCATATTCAATCACTGACTCACACTGCCAGTTGTCTCCCAGGGTTTAGATTTACGTTTCCTGACCTACAACAGATCCGCTGACTTGGATTCCATGGAGATTAAAGACTAAGAAAACTGTATTTTTTTAAACCTCTCAAGGTAGGTCTGATCATTTCTAGGGATGGGGAAAAAAAAATCTCTGCACAATACACCGGAGCAGGAAAGTAAATGTCAGGAGGGATTTTCCACCACTTTGGTTTCACACAATGAAAGATACAAATGGGCCCCGCCAACCCAAAAGGGACCTGGTGCCTCCTCACAGAACCAGTCACAAAGCTGGAACTAAAAATATGTCAGAACATTTGAGGGTTCCCCAGAACTGTTAGAGGGGAAAATTCCATGTATATAAAACATAGTCAATAAAGAAGAACTGAAAGTGAGAGGTTTTTCATAAAACCCTCCGTGTACACGCTGTATCATCCACTGAGAGGGGGCAGGGTTTCAGGTTGGCCAGTTTCAAAAGGACAGTGATCTGAAGAGGGTTGAGTGAAACTTTATTTTTTACGGTCGATGAATATCAGAGCGCAAAAATCACTCAGTGCAGTTTTTAACATTCCCAGGGGAAAAAAAAAAAAAAAGCCCATAAATTTATCTCTAAAAGAACTTTTCCTGAAGTACACAGCCAGAATCTAAAGGTTTATGCTTAAAGATACAGACCCTTAAAGAATCAGACTCTTGTACTTTTTTCTAGATCAAAGGAGATCTGGGGTGACACAATCTGACATCAATCTCCTGAGGCACAAAACTGATTCTGATAAGTAGATCTTTTCAAGCATGTGTGTGCGCGCAAGCAGACACAACTTAGTGATTCAACAACAAACACACACACACACACCTCCAAACCTAGTCTCCCAGAAATCATGCCCAAATCATGAAACCATGAAAGTAATAACCGAACCTAGCAATCATCCACTCCAGTGTTCTTGCCTGGAGAATCCCAGGGACGGGGGGAGCCTGGTGGGCTGCCGTCTATGGGGTCGCACAGAGTTGGACACGACTGAAGTGACTTAGCAGCAGCAGCAATCATCCACCATGAATCCCCTTGAAATGGGCAAAGGACCTGAACAGACATTTTCCCAGGGGGGCTGCACACACCGTGTATGGAAGGACTAAACCCAGCAGCAGAGTCCACTTGTACTTCCACGTGTAGAGACCTCTGCCCACCTGTAGGCAGGAGAGATAAGCCCAGCTCAAGTTGAGAAAAACATCTGAGATAATTTTGAGCAATGCAGAACAAACGTACTTTGGCCCCAAGCGGGATCCAGCCTTCTTATCTCCCACGGCCGCTTCACTCCCCCAATATTTATAAGAAGTTCCAATGCCGCTCGCTAATTTTGTTTGGACTTCTCACTGTGTTCTGAGATGGCCTGATATTTACACAAGTACAAGCCTGCTTTCAAAGTGCAGAGCAGGTAAAGGTCGGAATTACCCGATGACCTCCAGGTCTCAGGGAGGGGGCCTTGGTGCCTGGGTCCAGGCAGACCTCTGGGGAGAAACAGGAACCTCAATAATCAGGGTGGGAATCAATCGAAGTGATGAGAACAGTGAACCTGGATGCTGCCTCCTTCCTTCCTCAAGAAACAGCCCAGGGAAACCACAAAATCAAGCATGAGGACAAATCCAGAACAGACCTGGTCTCTTCCACAAGCCAATGGGGAGACGGCCAAAAGGCAGTGGGCATTGCACATAGTCAGGAACCAAATACAACCTGGGGGTCTGCTGTGGCTTCTGATGGAACAAATAAATCCTAGAAAGATATCTGGAGAATAGTCAAGGTATTCTGAATAGGACGGGGCAGTAATGACATTTTAAATGATGGCTAATTATGATTAATTTACGATTATCCAGCTGGTAATGGTATTGTGAATCCATAAGAAAACGTTCTTGGGTCTTACAGATACACCCAGTCAGGGAGTTGCTTTAATCACCTCCCAACACAGATTTCTTAACTCTTAATAGTTGTTCAATCTAGATGTGAGTTTTAAATCTAGAAGGGAATTTGCTGCACTATTCTTTCTAGTTGTTAGATCATTCAAGCATACTATGTATATTTGCAAATACTCATAATAAACTGGCCCAAGCCACAGCCACTTTCAGGAGCTAGGTACAGTGCTGCTATGCAAGCCTCCTCATCGCTCCTCCAGAGGAATCCAGGGCACCTGTTCCATCAGCCCCCACCCCCTCATGTATTGGAAGCAGGAGATGCAAACAAATTCAAGGCATTCATTAGCCACCTATTTATCTTCCCTGGTGGCTCAGTGGTAAAGAATCTGCCTGTTAAGCAGGAGATGCAGGTTCAATCCCTGGGTCAGAAGATCCCTGGCAGAAGGGAATGGCAACCCACTCCAGTATTCTTGCCTGGAGAATCCCATGGACAGAGGAGACTGGTGAGCTCCAGTCCATGGAGTTGCAAAGAGTCGGACACGACTGAGCGACAGACTTTCATTCACTTCCCCACCCCTTCATGTATTGGAAGCAGATGGAAACAAATTTAAGGCATTAACCGACCACCTATTTATCTCTTGCTAGGAATGCACTGGGCATGATGGAGTCTCCGTTTGAGAGCGATGTGACGTTGCCAACCCAGTGTTCTTGAGTCTAATTATCTTAACAGAACAAAAACAGGGTCACCAATGTTCCTCCCCTTCAAGTAGTCCCATCCTTCATCCATTCATTCTCAGCACAATGTTACCTAGAGCCTCCAGCGTGTCAGGCCTGGCACTGAGCTCTCAGCTACGGTCAAAACAGCCCTGGTACGTGGCCAGCCTGGAGTGCCTCCCCATGAGCATCGGGAACGACAAACCCCCGAGGACAGCACAGCTTTTCTAAGAGTCACAACAGGCTTCAGCGGAAGAGAATTTGGGATGACCTCAAACCACTCAAAATACAAGTAGGGATTCTTGGGCTTATGAATGGGCAGGGAATAACAGTAGGGTCTGAGTGAAATATTTATGCAGACAGACGAATGCCAGCGAGCCTAAGTTAGCAGAAACCTATAAATAGATGCCCTGGGGAGGTGTGGGTACAGACAGGAAACGCCCCAAGGCCACCCAACATGTGCAGTGACTGCAGCTAGAGGGCGTTTCCAACTGCACTGGGCCCTCAGGCCGCCCAGGAGCTGCGAGCACAGCATCGTCCTGGGAGGGGCCATCGGCTGCAGCCACCACCCCCTCTCTGTCCTTCAGCCTCGCCCACGCACAGCCCAGCAGACGACAAGGTGGTGGAGGTCTCCTGTCCTGCACCGGGGAAAGCACTCAGGAGCCAAGAGCCAGGTGAGTAAGGCTCCACATGATGGATTGCCTGAGAGGCCCTAAGTGTTCAGCTGCACCAAGAAGAATCCATTCACTTTCTGGTCCTCTTTAGAGCCCACTGGACTGCAAGGAGATCAAACTGGTCAATCCTGAAGGAGATCAAACCGGTCAATCCTGAAGGAAATCAACCCTGCCAATTCACTGGAAGGCCTGACGCTGAAGCTGAAGCTCCAATCCTTTGGCCACCTGATGCGAAGAGCCGACTCATTGGAAAAGACCCTGATGCTGGGAAAGACTGCAGGCAGAAGGAGAAGGGGATGACCGAGGATGAAATGGTTGGATGGCTTCACCGACTCAATGGATCTGAATTTGAACAAACTCTGGGAGATGGTGGAGGACAGAGGAGCCTGGTGCGCTGCAGTCCAAGGTTCGAAAAGAGTCGGACACAACTTGGCAACTGAACAGCAAAATCCAAAGTACACAGACAGAGGAGTTGGAGGAAAAGGTATCTCGGTGGACAGCCCCGGTGAAGAAGTAGCTCTGAGATGGGGTGTACGCTTCCTTGGACTGTCATCACAAACTGCCATCCACTGAATGGCTTAGCACCACAGAAATGGATCCTATCATTTTTCTGGAGGCCAGAAATCCAAAATCGCGACATCAGCAGGGCAGTATTCCCTCCAAAGGCTCTAAGCAGGATCCTCCTTGCCTCTTCTGGCTTCCAGTGGGTCCAGGTGTTCTTGGCTTATGGCTGCAGCACTCTAGTCCCCACCTCCTTCTCCACGTGGCCTTTACCTCTGTGGATGTGTCTCCTCGTCTGTTTCTTTTTTTTATTTTTATGCAGACCATTATTTTAAAGTCTTCACTGAATCTGTTACAATATTGCATCTGTTCTACCTTTTGGTTTCTTGGCTGCTAGGCATGTGAGCTCTTGGCTCCCTAACCAGGGATTGAACCTGCACCCCCTGCATTGGAAGGGGAATTGTCTTAACCACTAGAATGCCAGGGAAGTCCCTCTTCTGTGTCTTATAAGGACCCTTGTCACTGGATCAGCCCACCAGATAATCCAGGAGGATCTCATCTCGACATCCTTAAGTTAAGTACATCGGCCAAGACCCTTTCTCCAAATAAGGCCACAACCACAGGTTCTGGAGATTAGGATGTGGACATATCTTTGAGGAGGTTACCATTCAACCTACTACAGACAACAACAAACTGCAGTGTATTCAGAGTCCACTTGCAGGAGACATGGTGACGTTTGAAGCAAGCCACAGTGTCAAGCTAGCCAAAACGGTGGGTGGGTTTTGAAAAGGAAAAAGCAAAAGCAAATAACTGACTTCTCTTCAGAAATCAGGAACATCTGCTTTAATTTCACATCCTAAATCAATATAGGCAATAGTACCAGTTCTTCAAAACATAATCCTCCTAAACCTACAAGCCTTGGTTTCCTTGTCTGCAAAATGACAAAAGAATCTAGCTGATGACTTGTTAAAACTCAACATTCAGAAAACTAAGATCATGGCATCTGGTCCCATCACTTCATGGCAAATGGATGTGGAAACAGTGCAAACAGTGACTTTATTTTTGGGGGTTCCAAAATCACTGAAGATGGTGACTGCAGCCATGAAATTAAAAGACGCTTGCTCTTGGGAAGAAAAGTTATGACCAACCTAGACAGTTTATTAAAAAGCAGAGACATTAGTCGCAAAGAGTTGGACATGACTGAGCGACTGAACTGAACTGATGACTTGCTTCTTTGGAAGAGGCTAATTACAAAGCCCCTCCAGGATACAAACCTAAAACACTACAGACACAGCAAGGCTGGAAAAGTATATTGTTTGCCCTAAGACCTTAAAATATAGGACAGGTCATTTGAAGTGAGCATATGCTTTACTTAAAATATTTCTGTTTACTTCTATGCCATCTTGTTTGAGAAGGGACTCATTTAAATCGATCCATTCAAATCCAATACACCATTACATTTAAAATAAATGAAAAAAATAGGTAAACAAGGAAGAAGAAAAAAAAGAAATAAGATTGAGAGATATCTGAGAAGATAAAAATGAAGTAAGGAGTAATATTCATACAAAAATTATGCTGCAATATTCTGTACACTTGTTAGGAGAGGCCACAATCTGGCTGTCAGCTCTCCACACGTGATGCAAAGGTAAAGCCTGACCCGCTAAATTATTCATCGTGTCCTTAAGATTAAAAACACGGGGAGGTAGAAGAGGAAAAAGACACTTGCTCAGAAGAACCGTAATACTCCTGGTAGTGGGAAAGAAAGCTCTCTTGGGCTGTCTTAAAGAAAGCATGATGTAGTCATTGCTTTTCTAGATTATAACTGAATGTTTCCAGGCGTTCTTTATTTTTACATCCAATGGCTTCCTGATTCATCCCCTAAGAGTCAGGATCAACTAAACTGAGAGTTTTGAGGTTGATAAAAGTAAGAAAGTATTTATGTACATATGTGGGAGGGGGTTGTAAATGACAGAATACTGCTTTTTTCGGACAGGTAGGCACACAAACAGGGTTTCATAATAAAGTAAAAGCATTTTTTTTTAAGACAAAAACAAAAGTTTTCTTTACATAGAGAATACTGGAAAGAAAATCAATATGCTCCTTCCCCAAGAGAAAGCCCTAGAGTTTCCATGTCCTCCAACCCTAGAAAACCAGAAGCAAGAAAGAATATTCAGAGATGGAGAAGGGTAAGAAGCACTTAATAGAAATACAGTGAGAAGCTCCCCACAACAGTCATACATGAGACCAGAGCCTTAACTCGGGGTTGAGGCTACAGTCTGAAGTGATGATAAATCTTCTTTTTATGATTCTTTGATATTTTCATAATCATTTTTGCTTGGTTGGCTTTTGTAATAAATCAGCATAATATTTTGAAAACAAAGAACAACTTTACTTGCAGCAGTCCACACACAGCTGCTTTTAGTAGGGATCTCTCTCACATAGACACATGCACTCACATACATACATGTACACACACACACATGCACACACTTACCTTGCTAAGCCACTTCAGCCCTGGTATCATATTTGAGTTGATCTGTTCTTCCAGCCATGGGCGCATACGCATCCTTTCCACCGGCATGGTGTCCTTCTGCAGAAGAGCAAACACAACATCAGGCATTTCTGCTGCTCACTGTCATGTCTGCAGATGGGGTCTGACACCATGCCTGACCGACTGTATGTTCCTCTTCCTCAAAATCACACAGCTTATGTGTACCCTGGGGCCGCGGGGCTATGAGAGCGTATTAGGGGCTTTGCCCTGGAGCATCCTGCCCCACTCATGCCCGAGGGGCTGTCTCCGTGGGGCGATGGTGAGTGAGGACCACACCTGCTCTCAGCTAACAGGATCCCATGATGTAGAAACTGCAGCCAGAGGGCTTGGATACCTAACGCTGGGTTTTGCGCTTGCGTGCTCCGTTGCCGCCAACTTTTTGTGATCCTATGGACTGTAGCCCGCCAGGATCCTCCATCCATGGGATTATCCAGGCGAGAATACTGCAGTGGGTTGTTAACTTCCTCCTCCAGGGTATCTTCCTAACCAGGGATCAAACTCGCATCTCCTGTGTGTCTGGCATCGGCAGGCAGATTCTTTACCACTGTACCACCTGGGAAACCCTAAGGCTGGGTCTTACCCCCTCCCAACCTGGCTGTGTTTATGGCAGATACCTTCCGTATATCAGGTACCCAGAGGAGCAGTGTTTTACAAGTACCCTTGGGCATCACCTTTTTAAGAGCCAAGGGTGGACACAGTAGCCATTCCTTTGGGGGATCTAAGTTATTGACAAGCTTCAACATCCCGACAGGCACGTATGGGCAAGGTCTTAAGGTATCAGTTCATTTGGCTCCAAGGTCTTTCACCAATTAGCCATCCCCTCCTGATGTAGCCTGTCTCCCTGCAGAGCACACCAGCCTCCTGCTCTGGCTTCAGCATCACTTTTATGTGAAAGCATCTCTTACTCATTGTGCTCCCTTAAGGATCTTTCTTCACTGTCACCCACCCCCTCTGACCTGGGGTCACCTTTCCTCCACCAGCCCACAAAACACCTCCCTGCTGCTCCTTCCAGATGCATTTCTACACAGTCTATCCCTCACCCACCTAAATATACCCAGAGCGGGATCACTCATTCATCTTCAGCCTATTTACACACAAGTTTGCATTCGATGCAAAAGCAGAGACAATGGCAACCAAGCCTCCAGTTCCACAGGACTTCATGGACAGTGGGACATGACGCTCTTTTCAATCCTTGGCTGCCTCACCTATCCTTGGATCATTTTCTCCTCCAGAAATGAGCTCTGGATATTCTGTTCCGATGACTTCAGGCTGGGATGATCACAGTCTCAGTAACACTCTCTTCCAGCTCGCAGAGGACTTCCTGTCTCCTCTGTGCCCAGCCCGCAGCTTGCACCAGAGGGCAAGCATCACTATGAGCCACCTGGCGCTGCGCTCTCTGCCCGTAAAGCCTATTTCAACTCTAGAATTAAGCCTAGCCCTTGCCTTTCCCTTGGACCTTTTCCCTACTTCTGACCCACTCACTGTCACAGACACCGCCTCCTCCTTGCTCCTCTTTCCCGGCCTCACCAATCCCAAGCCATTCTCCAAGACCCAGTCTCCGCCCTCCTCCCCACAAGGCCTCCCAGACACGCCAGCTGCAGGAGTCCCTCCTCCTCCACGTCCCACAATGCCCACGATCTTGTACTGCTCGTCGGAAAATCAAACATTGCTATAGGGCAGCTATTCTAAGGTTGTGTTTATTCTTACTAACTCTTACCTTTTTAAACGGAAACTTCTCAGCTGTGCCCACCCTCTCCTCCTATCCAAAGAGTAAATTCACTGAGAGCAGGAACTCCAGCTCTCATAGGTCTTTGGATAATCCTACAAAACCTAAATGCATCCACAAGAGAGGTGGAATACAAGAACCAGTTCTGCAGGTCAGCCAAGATGGGGTCACCACGGCAGGCTGGCCCTGTCCACTCATCTGGTGGCCTCAGGAGTGACAGGAACTGCAGGGACACCCAAAAAAGATGGGAACAGCCACAGGGGGCCCCCACACAGCTGCTCTGAGTGGGTCTCAAGCTGTTCCGATCGCTTGCTCCTTCATCCACCCACTCAGAGGTCATATATCAAGAGTGATGTTCCAGGAACAGGAAGGAAGGAGACGGTCCCTGCCATCTAGGCACCCCCAGTCTAGCAGGAGACAGGGGACAAGACAATTCCCATAGCCCAGGGCACCTCCTGTGTACAGAATGATAAGGAGTTGCAGAGCGTTCTGGAAGCGTGGGGGAAAGCTTGTCCACATTAGATCCACTGGGTGACCAACCATGGCAAGGGCTCTGCCCAGCTGGCCCTGCAGATCCCCGTTCTTAAAAAGATCTCAAGACACGGAGCGGGGGCAGGTAGATCCGGGCAGTAGAGAGGGGCGAGGAGGCGTGGATACGAGGTGACAAGCTCTTCTGAGGGGACAAGATGACAAGCAGAACCGCTGTGGCCCAGGAACTTCTGCAGCCCCTACCTTAGCTTGGCAACACGGAAACACGCCCCTGCTTTCCATCTGCAACTTATAACATGTTCCTCCCCTATTTTTTATTTTTTCACAAACGACCCATTTAGGAAAAAATGGTCATCTGAAGTAAGGCAAAAAAACTTTCTATCTTTAAAGCCTGTGTGGGGAAATACAATCAATCTTCATTATTCGAGGATTTCATATTTGCCAATGTACCTACTCACTATGTATATTTCTGTCATCCAAATTGATCCTTGGGGTGTTCCCTGGCTCTTCACAGACATGCCAGAGACGTGAAAATCCTGAGTCAGCCGGTGCACATGCTCCCAACTAAGGTGAACCGGTGACATCCTGCCTTCTTATTTCAGCTCTCACACTATAAATACGTGTCCTTTTCAGAGTCTATCCAGTGCAACATTTCCCACATTTTCCTGCTTTTTTGTTGGTGATTTTGCCATTTAAAACGGCCCCCAGAGAGGGCTGTCTGAAACGCTGTCAACCAAGTCTAAGTCCAAAAAGGCTGTGAGGTGACTTTTAGAGAAAATACGTGTGTGAGATAAACTTCCTTCAGGCACGAGTTACTGCTTGTTGTCTACAAAACGTATTATATATGGAGTCTTTAAAACAGAAGCACGTAAAACAAGATTACATATCCATGAGTTGATGAAAATGTGATCAGGGGCTCACAGGAACCTAACGTCTTTGGAGAAGAGGGAAATGCGGACACAGACAGAGAGGGGCTTGCCAGGTGGCTCTACGGAAGAATCTGCCACCAGGCAGGAGGTGTAGAAGATGTGGGTTCGATCCCTGGGTCAGGAAGATCCCCTGGAGGAGGAAATGGCAACCCACTTCAGTACTCTTGCCTGGAGAATCCCATGGACAGAGGACCCTAGTGGGCCACACAGCCCATAGGGACTTGCATAGAGTCAGACACAACTGAGTGACTGATCATACACGCGCGCACACACACACACACATGCACACATGCGCGTGTGCACACGTACACATACACACACACATGCACACACACAGAAGCCCATGTGCAGACACAGCCACAGGGGCAGACAGCCATGTGAGGACACAGGCAGAGACTGGCGTGATGCAGCCACAAGCCAAGGAGTGCGTGCAACCACCAGAAGCAGGAAGAGGCCAGGAACGATCCTCCCCTGGAGGATCAAGAGGAAGAACCGCCCTAAAAACACTTTAACTTGGGGCTTCCAGCTTTCAGAGCTGTGAGAGAATAGATTTCTGCTGAAGTCACACGGTTTGTGGTACTGTGTTATGGCCACCCTAGGAAGCTTAATGCAGAAGATGCTCTGAGTCAGGTGACAGGTCTCCTACTCTGTCTACAGTTAAGGGAAGATGAGGACAGCAGACAGTCCAAAGACCCCGGGGGCAGGAGGACCAGCTGCAGAAGGCAGTCAGCAACAGGGTGATGTCAGAGACATCAGGCCTGGAAAATCAAGCTTAGGATTTTGGTCATCATCCCAAGAGTAAAGAGAAAACTAGAGATTTATACCAACCAATGATATTACCAGTGTTGTGAACAGTAAAGCTAAGAGTTGATTATAAAACCTAGACCAGGGCTCCACCAATGTTAATGCACATACAAATCTCGATTCAGGAGGTCTAGGTGAGCCCTGGGATTCTCAGTTTCTAACAAGCTCCTAGGTCATTAGACCACACTCTTGAGGAGCAAGGCTCCAGACTCACGTGGTTCTTCTGCGAAGAGTCTGGTTCTTCTTGCTACAAAGTCTGGTCGTCCCAGCAGACAGCCCTCCTCTACCAGTCTCTGTGCATCGTGTTCTGCAGTGTCATCTACTTGTTGACCCAGTCCGTTTACATATGTCCTACTAACAAGGATGCAGCTCAGCCAAACCTCAATGTCTACGGCTCACCTAGCCAAACTCTATGGAAATCCCACATATGGAAACTATTCTAAATCTTTAGTCAGGACTGTCATAAATTATAAGCAGATTTTTAGGAAAAGCAAATACAGCAAGTATCTGATCAAAGTAGGGAAAACTCTATTATCAAGTGCTTCACTTACTTCAGGTTCCATGGAGTGTGTGTGTGTGTGTGTGTTTAATAGCTAGGACATTCCCGATGATACACAATGAAAGCTAACCCTTTTACACGGAAGCACTTCCTCTTTCTTACTCGATTTTAGAGCCTAGCTCCCCCTCCCACACACTAAACAGGTAATGAATTACCAGTGGTCTTGCCACATGACCCAGAATAAAAAAGTTGCCATTTGACATAGATTTCTCAAGACTATCAGAGGCTGAATATGCATCTGTGAAAGGAAGGGAAGGTAGAACTCAACATTGATCTAGCACATGCCTACAAGTCATGTGTTTTCCAGTTTCCATCAGTGAAATTCAAGGTGCTAGCTGGGTCTTCCTTCTTTGATGCAAGTTTCCCTTGGGCAGAAACACTCAGGCCACAGGAAACCGGAAGAGAGTTGAAAAAGTTAGGGGACTCGACAGGGAAGACAAAGAGGTGCTATTTTTGCCAAGAGGACCGAAATACATCAGAAACTGGGACCTTTGTGTTCCAGTTCTGACTTTGCTATTACTACCGTGCGTCC